GGTTAGAGTTTCGATATGGGCCTACGTGTGAGGGTTTGGTTGTGAGTTTGAGTGTGGGTGTGGGTGTGGGTGTGGGTGTGGATGTGGGTGTGCATGTGGATGTGGGTGTGGGTGTAAGGGAAGATAAGAGATCGACGGTCATACCCACACGCACTCTACACCCCCCTCCCCACCCCCCGCCCACGCCCATACCCACACTCCACCCGCACCCACCTCATACCCACACCCTCAGCATCGAAAGTTGCCTAGACAAGTTGCGTTGCGGTGCTTACTGGCAGGTCAACATCGAAAACTTGATGAAAGATGAAAAAAGTGTTCAAAGTTGTAAAATCATTTTCTCCGCAACCGCTCGATAGGCATCGCTCTTTTTATTTACCAATGATACATCTAGGCACAAGCTTTAATTAAAGACTAGGCCGACAAAAATCGGAACAGGAATAGCCGAGTTATAAGCAACGCAAAAATCCAATTTTAACTGAAAAAACACCATAAAGGCGCCACAGTCAATGTAATGCGAAAATAGAGATATGTCGGGTTCCGCATCAGCTAGAGAGGTGCGATTTTCACCATTAGTGTTCTTAGGAAGTGCTTCACAAGCCTAGAAGGGTCTCGTCACTGGTGTCAAAACTTTTGTATATCGTGGTATGTTTCTGATGGATGCACTCTTATACAAGCTTGATATCTTGGACAAGTGAAATGATAACAAAAAGTTTCTTCTTGGAATTCTTCTGTTTTTTCTCGGACGATTAAGTTATTTAAATTCACCCTCACCCAAGTTCGCATGGAGTTCAACAACGATTATTTCAACCCTTCAAAGGTTAAAATTTGAAAAGATTTGTGTTGTATTTTTCTCATATATATATAAAATATAAAAATGTGAGTGTTTAGTACAGTGTCTAGATTGTTTTCAGTGAATTTTCTCCTAAAAATCTAACTTAGAATAGCTATAGCTATAATGTTTAATTAAAAAGCATCTCTTTTGAGAAGCTACGGTTTTGCACATGTATCCTAAAAATAGCAGACACTCATTCTTTGAACACGAAATAGAGTCATAAGTCAAAAAACATAATTCTTCCTCCTGATTCCGCTACAATCACCCACAGACGCTTTTCATCAATGACAGAAGCATAAGGTTTCCAGCTAGTTGAAGCTGATATCGGAATAGTATAAGCTGCTATTAGAGTACCGTTTGATGCATAACGATTAACTTGAGGTGAAAAAGGATCAGCCATTGTGACTAATAGATCAGGATCAGAAGAAGCCGTAGACGGAAAAAGAGTAATAAGCAGATTGACCAGACGCTGTTGTGTTTCTAATTTTATGACTGCAAGATGCTTACCATTATTAGTTAGCTCATAGATACATGCACACTCAGTATCGGATATATAAACAACTCCGTCATCTCTCACTTTAACATCATAAACATATTGTAATGGTGGTGTCGTTTGATAATTTTGTATTATCGTTCCATTAGTTAATAATTTAATCACACGAACATTACCACTATCAGCAACATACAGATTGCCTTGTAAATCTGTAGCTATACCATGAGGATTCTTCAATGGTGGATTGTTTGTATAAATTCTGCCTATTTCAGTACCATTTGATGCAAACATATGAATGTAACCGTATGGAATATCAGCATCTGTAACATATATTTGATTTTTAGTATCTAAAGCTAAACCAACTGGGAAACCGAAATGAGGTTTTGGATTAATAATTTGTGTAACATTAGCAGATGAATTCGTAATGGTAAGCNTTGCAATTTCATCTGTGATAAGTTCGCCATTATAGAAATGAATATTTGGAAATTGACATATTCCTTCATGCATACGATATTGTCTATTTAGTAAACTGATATTTTTTCGATGAATTGTAGCATCCAATCTAGTATAAAGGGATTGTGACAGATTGTATGTTTGCCCAGCGACACTGAGAACGCATGGGGGAAGTTATTTAGGATCGCCAATGAGGATAATCTTAGAACAACCAAAGTAAAATGGTAGAAGACAATCAGCTTCAAGACTTTGGAAAGCTATATAGTAATAGACGAAAACATATTGAAAAATAATTCAAGAAAAAATTTTTCCTTCATCGATAATGATAAATTTAACACTTCTCTGCTTTTTTATTGATACAAGTGTGTTATTAGTTGAGTAGTTCAATGTCGAAACAATAACCTTAGCATTATTTAGAATATTGTTTTTGATAAAATTTGCTGTTTGATATGATACTAATTCTCCATTTTGCATTCGTTCGACAAGTTTTTGCATAGCAAGTGATTCGAGAAAATGTTCACAAACATCATGATCAAGAGGTGCTTCACGACCAACTCGAACCAATGTTCCTATAAAATCTTATATACTTAGTTGTACAACTCAGTGTAGGATGATAATAACCTGTTTCATAGTTAGAACCAAGTTCCTTCAAGATTCGTTTTGACAACTCATCACATGCGTTGTTCGATGATGCCCAGAGTAGAATTTTTCTTCTTTTGCCTAATTATGGCAAAAGTCTTACGACAATACCAGCAATCGTTTTACTTTTCCCAGCACCTAAACAAACGAAACTCTAAAATTTAACAAAAAGCTTTCCAGAGAAACAAAACTAGACCTGGTGGATCATGAACGAGATGTAGATGGTCAATTCCATTGCCATTGTCACCAAATATTCGTTCAACATAATTAATCACTCGCATATGAGCGTCGTCAAAGTTTCCAAGCGCTCTTGATTGAGCAGTTAGAAGATTTTCATGATGGAAATAGGGGTCTGTATTTGATGGCTTAAGTAAACTTTCTTGTTTTGAAAATGTTCGCAAATTATAAATGGCACTGATTTGTCTTCGAGGTGATGTAATATTGGTCAGTTTAATTATCAAAATTTTTTGCGATCCTAAACTACGGCAATGATTTTCAATATCATCCGAACATGCTTTAGAAGCGTATAAAACTACATCAGACTTGACCTGAATAACATGTTTATTATTGTCGCACTCAGTCAAGCATATATCTGTGACATTTTCCATACCAGATGACCAATGGTCGACTACGTGAACAATAACGGCGAAAAATCTGGGACGTTCATCTTGAACATTAATGTTAATGAGAACAATGTCACATAAGGAAAGTTTTCGAAATGTTTGAATAAATAAAATATCGATTTGACAAACATATGAGCCAAAAACTAATGTGGTTTCAATGGATGGTTCAGACACATTGGTTGTTTGTGTAACTTGTGGTACATATTTCGTGATTTGAATATCAATGTCACCATCAGTGCGGAGTAAATCGTTGCGTGTCATCGACATTATGTCGTGCTTGATATTTTCCCATAATTCGTGGTAAAGAAGAGGTATGAAACATTTTTCATATAGTCTTTGTGCAGTTTCAACATCAAGATTAGGGCAACTTTGTGAGTTATCTACAGCACAAAATTCTTCATTCTACTTTAATATTTTTTCAAATTTGTTACCAAATATTTGTGGTACAGAACATAAACCTTCATATGTCAAGCTTTTATGCAAAATCGAGCTCGTTCTAAACGTTTGGGATAAATAGGAAGGTATCCATCGAGTAACAATACAACCAAAGAGACGTCGAACACCACAATGAACCTAATGTGACCAAAGAGCTCGTTGAGATGAAATTCGGGAACGTCCTTGTTCTAAATTTGCCATGTGGCACTCAAAAAGATATAAAGTTGTTATAATTTGTGGTTTGAACGTGTATAAAACACGTGATTTAATCCACAGATGACGAGTATGAGGATCTTCACATTTTAGTTGAAACCATGTTTTAGCTGTGTAAATATTATTCAATGAGTCTTACATTTCCATTAGTTTTCACTCCAAGATAGCATACGAAAATATACTAGTGTTATACAAAAAACCAGAATAATTTGCTCGTATCTGTAAAATCTATCACACTTGAACCACAAATGCTTGTGAAACATGTTTTGTTGTTATGGTAAATAGAAGAAAAATATTGCAGAACAATAAAATTTTCATGATTTTTTTCAAATGTCTGTCTTCTTGAGGTTGTTGTGAATTGTTTACTCTTACTCATTTGTGACGAACAACGGGGCTCGTAAGTCTATTAATTGATGAAGCAACACACAAACATGAGCATATATACCAACAGAAAGTGAGAAAGAGAAAAGAGAATACAAAGCAAATATGATGATGAACCACAGCAGTGAATCAATACATTGATCAACACCTTTGAACGCTGAAAATTTTAACCTTTTGTGTTTGTCGGCGACGACGACGGCAGTTTTCAAGCGCAAGAAATTTATTCTAAATAGCCTTTCAATTTAAAAATACTGAACTTTATTTATTCTGTTTAATACTATGCTTGTCTTGGAAATCAAATTAAATCATTGCCCAGAATACTGATAGAGAAGATAGAAAATTTAATAAAGGGTATGTCCATGGGAAGTCGCTAGTCAATCCGGGTTGGGTCAGAAATTTCTCTTCTAAGCATCAAGTGTTGTAGAGCTGAGCGCGCTGACCATTTGAGTATAAAATTGTTCTATATTTGACTAAAGTTTCTTGGAGATATAGGTCAAATACTAAAATCTCAAATTTGCATTTTTCAGTCAAGAATCATGAAAATCTTAAATCAACTTTTTCGAAGACAGGCTTCCGTGCCGTGCAATTACAATCAAAATAAGCATGTAATATCATATCTCGGATACCTCGTCAAAAGGTGTATCGATACACCTTTTGACGAGGAATCCGAATCGTTTGTGGATGTTGGGTGTGCGTGTACGTGTGGATGTGAGTGGATGTGAGTATGGGTGTGGGGTGTGCGTGTGGATTTGGGTCAGGGTGACCAAATTGTCTGAAAAATAACTAAAGTGTCTGAATTTTGAATATCTTTCTGATTTTGTCTGATTTAGTACTTTGTTCTGATTTTTTCTGAATTCTGAATTTTTTATATTGTAGCTTTGTTCGTGAAATTAAACACGGTTATAAAGCATTACAATAATAGATTAATATTGCACCATCTTGTTTCTCTATTAACTATTGATAATTTCTGAATTGGGGTGTGGGTGTGAGTGTGGGGTGAGTGGGTGTGGGTGTGACACATCTCTTAGCCAACACCCACATTCACACCCACATTCACACCCACATCCAAACCCACACCCTCAGTATCGAAAGTTGCCTAGACAAGTTACGTTGCGGCACTTATCGACACGTCAACATCGAAAAATTGATGAAACATGAAAAAAGTGTTCAAATTTGTAAAATCATTTTCTCCGCAACCGCTCGATAGGCATTGCTCATTTTTTTACCAATGATACATCTAAGCACAAGCTTTAATTTAAGACTAGGTCGACAAAAATCGGAGCAGGAATATCCGAGTTATAAGCAACGAAAAAATCCAATTTTAACTGAAAAAACACCATAAAGGCGCCACAGTCAATGTAACGGTAAAATATAGATATGTCGGGTTCCGCATCAGCTAGAGAGGTGCCGTTTTCACCATTAGTGTTTTTAGGAAGTGCTTCACAAGCCTAGAAGGGTCTCGTCACTGGCGCCAAAACTTTTGTATATCGTGGTATGTTTCTGATGAATGCACCCTTATACAAGCTTGATATCTTGGACAAGTGAAATGATAATAGAAAGAATTTCTTCTTAGAATTCTTCTGTTGTTTCTCGGACGATAAAGTTATTTAAACTCACCGTCACCCAAGTTCGCATGGAGTTCAGCTAAGATTATTTCAACGCTTCAAAGGTTAAAATTTGAAGAGATTTGTGTTATATTTTTCTCATATATATATAAAATATAAAAATGTGAGTGTTTTGTACAGTCTCTAGATTGTTTTCAGTGAATTTTGTCCTAAAAATGTAACTTAGAAGAGCTATAGCTATGATGTTTAATTAAAAAGCATCTCTTTTGAGATGATACAATTTTGCACATGTATCCCAAAATAGTAGACATTCATTCTTTGAACATGAAATAGAGTCATAAGTCAAAAAACATAATTCTTCCTCCTGATTCCGCTACAATCACCCACCGACGCTTTTCATCAATGACAGAAGCATGAGGTGTCCAGCTAGTTGAAGCTGATATCGGAATTGTATAAGCTGCTATTAGAGTACCGTTTGATGCAAAACGATTAACTTGGGGTGAAAAAGGATCAGTCATTGTGACTAATAGATCAGGATCAGAAGAAGCCGCAGACGGAAAAAGAGTAATAAGCAGATTGATCAGGCGCTGTTGTGTTTCTAATTGTATGACTGCAAGTTGCTTCCCGTCATTAGTTAGCTGATAGATACATGCACACTCAGAATCGGATATATAAACAACTCCGTCATCTCTCACTTTAACATCATAAACATATTGTAATGGTGGTGTCGTTTGATAATTTTGTATTATCGTTCCATTAATTAATAATTTAATCACACGAACATTACCACTATCAGCAACATACAGATTACCTTGTAAATCTGTAGCTATACCATGAGGATTCTTCAGTGGTGGATTGTTTGTATAAATTCTGCCTATTTCAGTACCATTTGATGCAAACATATGAATGTAACCGTATGGAATATCAGCATCTGTAACATATATTTGATTTTTAGTATCTAAAGCTAAACCAACTGGGAAACCGAAATGAGGTTTTGGATTAATAATTTGTGTAACATTAGCAGATGAATTCGTAATGGTAAGCTTTTTTAAAATATTGTAGCCGATATCATCAGTTAAACTATTGACATAAATATCTCCACTATTAAGAAGTGCCACTAAACGTGGTGCAATTAATACTGGATCATGGCTAGAATAAATTTGCAATACTTTAGCAGATATAACATCGAATAACACTAGTCGATTATTTAAAGTATCAGATAAAAGTAAACTAGCATAAGGTGCAAACGTAAGACCTTGTGGATTATATAGACTATTAGTATATGTACGTATCAATGTACCATTTGATGTTAAAGCAATTATACAATTCGTAGCCATGTCAGCAACATAGACATTTAGATTGACATCAACTATTACTGCTGTTGGTCGATATATATTACTGTTTATATAGACTTGAAGTTGTCTGCCAGTTTGTGAATTAATGACAAATATTCTACCAGTCGTTGAATCATTTCTATCAGCAACATATAATCTTTCTGCTGTTTTGTCCATAGTTAATGCTGTCGGTTGACTAAGTGGTGGTGAAAAATTTGATGCATTGAATTTATTAATTTGTTCACCATTTTCATTTAAAACATAGATAGATGTATCCTTTGTGTCCGTAGTTGCTACGTAGATATCACCATTGATGGGCGAAATAGTCAATGCTGTAGGAACATAGAAGGATAAAGAGATATTTTTAATTAGTTGATCATCAGTAGTCCTATATTTATATATCATTGCTAATGAGCTATAAGCACCTGTTGTAACATATAAATAACCAGCTAAATCTATCGTTAACTTCAGTGGCGAATAGAATTTCGATTTCTCAATAGGTAAATTAAGTGTTGATATGTAAATAGCTTCAGGTGATAAGTGTAATATTCGATTGAATGACATATCAACCGTGAATATATGCTGATTTATTGGAGATATAACAATATTAGCAGGAGTCCAATATGAAAGTAGACGAGATGGATAATGTATATCAATACTTAATATAGGGAATAATAACATGGACAGAATAAGAATAATTAAAACCATTCTATCGGATATTCGACACGAATGTCAATCGGTGCTAATATAGACAGCCATTCATTGCAGTTAAACGTGAGTAAATTATCAAAATCTAAATTATCGAAATACTTATGGCAATCCAAAAGTAGTGGCGCAGGCATTTTATTTTCTAATAATTGGCTTATTGAAATTTTCTTTTTAGATGAGATGATAGAGAAAACGAAGCTCTATTTTTCTATGCTATTTGATCACTATTCAACAGCTAACATAATAATAAAATTTCGATAAGAAGTATTTTTGTATAAAACATAACTATTACATTCGATCATATTTTCGTCTATGTGTATTTTGTTTTTGGTTTTTTCCTTGTTCTTCCTCTCCACTTTACTTTCTTTTTTTCTGACCCTTTTGTCCTTTGTTCTTCACTGTCATGGCTTCAATATGACAATGTCATAGAGATGAACATGTCTATTTTCTTCTCTTTGGTTCTGTTGATATGTATCAAGAACACACGCTACACTTCTCTCTTTTCTTCTCGTATGTTCAGGTTATCCAAGTGCATTTTCTCTTTTCTGTTCTGTAGTACTCTCTCCAGATGGACTCACCTCTCTCTCCTTTCATCTAAGTCATGATCTTCTGGAACATTCTTGGATAGCCAAGCTCATGTATATATACCGACCATTATAGACGGTGAGTTCGATTTTGCGTATATTGAGCCTGTAATCACTCTGAGTTAATAAACAACTTGCAAGAAACCAATTCACAAAAGTTAAACTTTAACACTACTCATTGGTGTCAAATGGATAAAGAAAACTTTCGCTTTTATATTAAAACGCGTACCGCACTTAATATCCCTGCAAAAATTATTCATAATGAACTGTATTCTGTCCATAGTAATCAAGCTCTTTCATTCAGAACAGTTAAAAGATGGAATAAATGGTTTCGTGAAGGCCGGGAAGAAATTGAAGATGAAGCACGACCTGGTAGACCTATTACAGAAACAACGTATGAAAATATTGAACAAGTTCGTCTTCTGATTGATGATGATCGTTATATGATAATAGAAGGTCTGCAGGAACAAACTGGCCTAAGTTACGGCACCACACAGTGAATCATCCCTGATCATTTGCAGCTTACAAAGATTACCGCTCGTTATATTCCCAAGCATTTAACCGATTTCCAGAGCGCTGAACAAGTTCAGATGTGCAAAGAAAACTTAGAAAAATTTGAAAAAAATATGGCGCTTATGTGATGTGGTAACTAGCGATGAGTCGTGGTTTTATCACACACAAATTGGTCGCAAATCATCAAATGCTGCTTGGATGGTAAAAGGAAATCCTCCACCTACAGTAGTTCGACACGATAAGTTCGCTCCAAGAACCTTATTTTCCATCTTTTTCAAGTCAACTGGTACTGTTCTTATTCATCGTATTGAACGCGGACAAACTGTCGACCATCAGTATTACATCGGCAACTGTTTAAAACCTCTTGTTAATGAAATCGAGCAGCAAAGACCCTCATTTGGCACACATGGTATTAAAATACTCCATGACAATGAAAAACTTCATGTTCACAAAGCTGTGTCCGATTACCTTGAATCAAAAGATATCACACTAATGCCACGTCCATCTCATTCTCCAGATCTTGCACCATGGGATTTTTGGTTATTTGATTTAATCAAACAAAATATAGATGATCAAAATGATGCCGAATCAGTGCATGATGCTGTAAGCGCATTCATGTATTCTTTGAATAGAGAAGAGTACAAAAAACGTTTGATAAATGGGTGCAACGAATGCAATTGTGTGTGGACAATGATGGAGATTATTTTGAACATCTGATGAAATAAAGATTTGTCCAACTTGCTCTCTATTTCCTTTTTTTTACTCTACTACCACTGCCTATTATAGACTACGTGTACAGTATGTACAGAGAGCTAGGCATTAGAAAAGATGAGAAGAAAAAGAAAAGAAAGTAAAGTGAAGAGGAAGAACAAGGAAAAAACCAACAAGAAAATACACATAGACGAAAATATGATCGAATGTAATAGTTATGTTTTATACAAAAATACTTCTTATCGAAATTTTATTATTATGTTAACTGTTGAATAGTGATCAAATAGCATAGAAAAATAGAGCTTCGTTTTCTCTATCATCTCATCTAAAAAGAAAATTTCAATAAGCCAATTATAAGAAAATAATCTGCCTGGGCCACTACTTTTGGATTGCCCTAAGTAGCAATAGTTGCCTTATGTTTCTTGTTTGACAAAAAAAATTCTTTGAAATTATCAAGCAAGAATGTCAAAACTACTTTTGAACATGGTCTTATGAATGAATCTTACTCGGACGTTTTGCTTACTAATAGTTTCGAAATTTGCTCATGAATATGTGAGTAATATATCTACGCAAAACATAAATGCACAAATGATAAGCATAAGACTATTTCGAAGCATAATACCATCAGCTTTTTGTGGCTGGGAACTTTGACCAGATGCTTTGTAATAAACGGTTTTTTTTCAAACGCAAGTAGAGTAACCGTTGTGCTATGAGAAGCTGATCACCTTGGTTTTCCTTATTCAATCAACAACCCTGTTTCGCGGAAGGGAACACATATTGTATTATCTGTGTTTTAGTAATCTGACTCAAAAATATTTCAAGAAATGGAGAAGCTGAATATGAATAATCAATTGTTAGAATGCAATCTATGTAATAATAATATTATCTTTTTTAATGCTTTTATAGAACATCAAAGTATTTCTGTAGATTACAAGAAAAAAATAATGTTATTTATCAATAAGTTCATTTTTATCAAATACATATCGAAAACATTATTGTCAACCAGCTCAAGAAAACAAAAAATATTTATCAAATGATTTATGCAGCAAATTAAGGATATTTGATAAAATCTTGGTTTCATGCAATGTTTAGCAAATTTTGTGTAGTGGAAGATTTCGTTTATTTTTCAGGAATTTTCGATCTTATTCGATCATTTTCAACTATCAATCCACAAGACTACTACCTGTGCTACAAGACAAAGAGAAACATATGAAAAAATGAAGTTAAGTTTATGATGTAATTGATATT